CCCCAAAACCCCAAAACCCCAAAACCCCTCAAGTTTAGAATAAGCGCATCATTAGTAGAATATAATAATTGTATCAGTTGATTGAATAAATTTATGCTATTTTAAAATAAGAATAATAAATTTTAGTCAACCTTATTATGAATATGGAAAATTTATTTATAATTTCAACTCCAAGTAGAGGAATGGAAATGAATAACCTAACAACTAAAAGATCTAATTCAATAGATAATTAGATCTTTTAGCCCCTTGATCAAAGTGCAACAGTTCCAAATTCAGGTTCACAAAAACGTTCATAAATCAATAATTTAAAGACAAGTCTGCACCAATTATAAAAAATAGAGTGAGAACCCAATTAGACAACATCTAACACTGGTATTATAAATCAATCTAAGGAGGATTAATCTAGGTTTTAGCATAAATTTATCAAACCAGCTAGACTAGCTCTCATTAATGAGAATTATATGCTAATGAATGGGGTAGCAAGCGCTAATAAGAGTGTGAATCAGAAAATAAATAATTCATAGATTGAGCTAAAGCCATCTTTAGCCTAGAGTAATTTGATGATTGGTGGCAATCATAGAAGATTATTATAATGAATAGAACAGAGATAAAGCTAGCCAAATATAAATGAAAATTTCTCTAATTTCATTCCACAATTAGAGACAGTAGCTACGCTTCAGATTCTGAACCCTAGCTATCAAACTGCAGTAAATAATTCAGTATCATTTTCAGAAAGTGAATTTGCCAAAGCTGGAGTAAACAAGCATAGTTAGTAGTTGGGAAATAGCAGTAAATGGTTTAGGCAAAGATATAGATCTAAGGCAGTCCCATTTAATATCATTGATATTTAAGATAACCCTACTGCTTCATTAAATCAATCATAATATGGGCAAGAATATTCTATCAATTCTTTCGGAGGGTAAAGTTACTATGGTTTGATCAACTATCACTAAATGAAATAAGATTTATAAAATCCATTACCAATACTTACTTAATAACTAACAGAGGATCCTGAATTCAATGATAATTAAAAAATGTACTAGAGACCAAAGACTACTAGCGGTGTTTAAAGACGCCGGAAAAATAGGAACTCTTCCATTTTCTAAGAAGGCAATGACTTTAAATAGTAGCTTATTAATAATTACAAAGTTGAGCTTGATTCTAGCCCTTAGACCAGAAAATATCAGAATGCCCCTCATCGAACTTAAAGTGATTTTAATATTGAGAAAAAGACTCTAAAACGAAAGAAGCATTAAAGATCTAAAACTCAACTAAATTTATAAACTAAGAAGGTAAGTGATCTCATCTACACTAACCAATAAGATTTAAATCTAATGCGAAGGAAGACTATTACTTCAGCAAGTAATTAAGCAAGCTTTAAACGGAAGAGACATACTTAATAGAGATAAATTCTAATAAATGAAATGCAAAATTTGAATAGTCTGTAAACTCCAATCCAAAATGAAAAGCCAAAGCTAAAATTTCCAATTTAACCCTAAGTTTAAGAAATTAAAATTGAAAAAGAGTAAGAGGAATCTATCGCTAATAAAGCATAATCAAAGTAAAAGAGTCTATTCGACGTTAGTAAGTTAATAAAAGATGAAAAGATAATAAAGAGAGAAAAATCAGAGTCTAAAAGATAGTAATAATTGATTGAACAGCAAATATAGTAGCAATAGGAAAAATAATAGCCAACCATGTCCGTATAACTATCATCTAAATATCAACTAAAACATTAAGAAGATCCCAAGCATAGATTTTAAAGGTTAATGAATACTGGCTTTGACTAGTCTATTAGCTTAGTGAAGGATAGGATGGATAAACTGTCTCAGAGGTTAAAAAGACACAATAATAATTAAAATACCAGTATCCTCAGCTCTCAAAACAAAACAATAGATGAACATCGCTAAAAAAGGCAAACAATATCTAGAGAGCACACTCATCATGAATCTAATCGTGAAGATCATAAGAGTGGGAATAGGTCGGCAACTAGGAAGAGTATTTTACTTTTGGATTTAAACAATAAAGCAGTTAATAATAAAAAAGTCAGCTTTCAAGTGGGCGATGAAATGATTAGTTATCACTATGAATCTACTACTGATAATAACATTGATATTAAACCAAATAATAACTGATATAAAAATTTCATTTCAAGCTTATTAGTTAATCTTACTATGGGGTTTTGGGGTTTTGGGGTTTTGGGGTTTTGGGGAGATCGGAAGAGCA